TCAAAGGCTGGATTTGACCATGAACAAGTACACAGTATGGCCGGGATGGCTGAGGGAGTTTTCCTGTCACCCCAGGGTCTGTCTAGGCCAGTTGGTGGGTATTCCTACTTCCCCAGGAAGCTTCTCTGCCAGCCACAGTTCCGGGACTGACTCTGTCCTTCCGACTCACCCACCCAGCACCAGCAACCAACCCTATCGACAAGCCCTGTTCAGCTGCTTTGATCTCTTTTTTTGCCATTGTTCTGAGCTCTGGCAATATGTGGGCGCCCGCCTAGGCTGCCTGTCTTAGGCACTGGCACAGTAACGAAGAGCAGGATCTCTGCAATCAGCGGACCGGGTTGAACATCCCAGGTTCTCCTCTTAGTCCCTGTGTGACCTTGAACAAGTCCCTTTCCCACTCTGTGCTGATTTCCTTGTGTGCAACTGGGAATCTAACATCCTTGTACCTGGATGATTATTATGTGGATGAAGTGAAATCATGTATGATATTCTCTAGCTTCATTCATTTACCAGCAAATGCCATAATTTCCTTCTTCTTTAAGGTTGAATAAAATTCCATTGTGTATATATACCACAATTTCTTTATCCATCCATCTGCTGAAGGACACCTAGGTTGGTGTGAGTTGAGCTGCTATAAACATAGACCAACAGTATAGAATAGAAGAAGCCTATTCAACAAATGGTGCTAGGAAAACTGGAAGTCCACATGTAACAAGTTGAAATTAAGCCCATGTCTGTCACCCTGCACAAAACTCAGCTCAAAGTGGACCAAAGACTTAGGCACTAGAACAGAGACCCTGCACCCACTCCAGAAAAAGTAGGCCCAAATCTTCACTGTGTCAACCTAAGGATCTGAATTCCTTGTGCAAGAGGTGAAAGAACTTATAAACAATAAAATTCCATAAAAATATTACACTTACAATTGGGAGATGAGATACAAAACACACGCCAGGAAAACACAGTACAAATAGGTAGGTGTAGCTCCTGGGATGTGCACAGTGAGGAGAAGTCATGAGGCTTTTTCTCTTCCCCAGCTTTACTGGGAAGGGAATAAGGAAGCTGAAGAGGCCCATTCAGTCCAACCCAGCTCTGAACTGGCCCCACAGTGATCTCAACCCTATAGGACACAGCATCACTTCTAGAAATAAATTTTAAGGTCCTCCAAACACCAGGAGTGGGTGTCTGTGGTGCTTGTTTAAAATATGGCTTTTTTTTTTTTATTTGGTACTGGGGATTGAACCCAGGGGGACTTCATCCCCAGCACTTTTAATTTTTTAATTTTGAGACAGGATCTCAATAAATTATTGAGACTGGCTTCATACTTGTGATCCTCCTGCCTCAACCTCTCAAGTTGCTGAAATTATAGGTGTGCACCACTGTGCCTGGCAAAATGTGGCTTCCTATGACAAGCTTGGGGTCTGGATTTTCCAGCCCTCAGATGAGGGTTGAGGCAGCTTGCTGAGAGCATGGCTGGTGGTGAGGGAAAAGGCCAACTGTTTCAACTGGACATTTTAGCTGTGTAAAAAGAAAGAAAGAAAAGAAAAAAATGATCCCCAAATTTAGTGACTTAAAACCACTTTATTAAACTGGGTGTGGTGTTGCATGTTTGTAATCCCAGCTCCTCAAAGGCTGAGGCGGGAGTAAGTGCACAGTTTGCCTTGGGGTTAACTCTTGGTATATATTCTACGGTTTTGGATAAATGCAAGATGACATGTGTCCACCGTTGTAGTAGCCTACAGAATAGTTTCACAGCTCCCTCAAACACTCATTCATTCCCTCCCCACCCCCTAAACACGGTATTTTTTTATAAACCTCTTCTTGCAAAGAGCATCCCATCATTTTTACCGTGTTTTCTTCATTAGAGTCAATAGGTTCAGCCCACATTAAAGAGAAGGGTGTGAATAGACAAGCAGAGATCATTGGGGGTCTCACCCGGCAGTCTGTCCTGCAGTGGTGCTGGCTCTTGAGGCTCACACAAGACTGCTTGTTCCCAGGTCTCCAACCCCTGCTGATGTGCATATGAAGTGCCAATGTCTACCTCTCTGCTCACGCTGAGGGTCTCATAGTGAGAGGGTGCACATCCTGGCTGTGCTGGGATGTCTTAAGGGCTCAAGCCCAGCTCCAGGCTTCACCAAATTCAGTACAAACCATCAACCCAATTATTATTACTAACCAGGGCCTTCTGCTCCCAAGCGACTCATGGACCTGAGGTTTAGACATTATTTATTTTCAGTTAGTAGATTTCCTGGCATTGGCCAAGGGTCAGTGGTTCCGGAGATAAGCATGCAGTCAATCCAGATCACTTAACTCCTGTCATACAGGCCACTCCTATGACCTTTGATCAGGCCTTTAGAAAAATGAATCAGAGGCAGGGGTTGTGGCTCAGCAGTAGAGCACTTGCCTAGCACATGAGAGGCCCTGGGTTCGATCCTCAGCACTATATAAAAATAAATAAATAAAGGTATTGTGTCCACCTACAACTAAAAAATAAATATTTTTTTTAAAAAAGAAAAATGAATCAGTTTTAGGGAAGGTGTGATGGTGCACACCTATGATTTTCAGCCATGTGGGAGGCTGAGGCAGGAGGATCACAAGCTCCAAGTCAGCCTCAGCAATTTAACGAGGCCCTAAGCAACTTAGTGAGAACTTGGTTCAAAATAAAACATTTTTTAAAAAAGGCTGGGGTATTGCTCAGTGGTAAAGTGCCTCTGGGTTCAATCCCCAGTACTGCTAAAAAAAAAAAAAAAAAATCATTCTTCATCTGGAGGGCAATGGACCAGTCTCTGTCTACTTTGGCCTCTACGGAGTCACACTGCATAGGTTCTACTTAGATTCAGTCTGTTCAGCTCATGCAGCCAGTGGGCGTGGACCTCGGACTTCCCCATCACACTGGAGGTCTGTCTGTCTGTCAGCCATCACAGTCTCCATTTCCCTGGCTGTTGTGATTAGCCCACTGATGAGCACGCAATCCTCACCAGGCCAGAGACCTTCTCTAGGGTTGATATGGACACTGGTTAGGAACACAGGAGTAAATCTTTTCTTTGTAGGACTATAAGGATGTGGCCACCTTTGACATTTGAAGATGAAGGAAGAGGCCGCAAGCTAAGGAATGCAAGATATGTGGCTCTACAAGCTAAAAAAATGCAAGGAAATGAAGTATCCTATGGAGTCCCCAACAGGCTGCAGCAGTGCCAAGACCTTGGCTCTGGCCCATTGAAATCTAGTGTGGGCTTCTGACCCCCAGAACTGTAGAACTGCTTCATGTTCTTTTAAGCCACTGAGTCTGTGGTCATTTGTTACAGCAACAACAGAAAATCACGATCTAACATTCTGACTCCCCCACTCAAAAAAAAAAAAAAAAAAAGAGAGAGAGCTTATAACCTTAGCCACTATCCCAGAATGATGCCCTATCTCATGGCAGGAAGACCACCACAGGCCACCTCTCCCGCCCCTCACCACCCTCAGAAGATTCTGCTAAGATGCCTGGGTCCTCTTCAGGTCTGTCGGGCCCTCCAACTCCACCATGCAGCACATCCCCAGCCACCACTCGGAGGTGGATCTGGAGGGCACATGAGATGACAGCCCAGCTGCTCCCCGCTGGCCATCTTTACCCAGATACCTGGGACTTCAGCAGGGTCACGTGGCTGGGCATGTGCTCACTTCCTGTTCCCCTACTCTCCATGGACAGTGGAGAGGACAGGCCCGGTCTCAGCACAGGGAAGGCCATTCCTGTTTGCTTCAGGGTCCCTGCCAGGCCTGGCTACTCACCATTTTCCAGGGCAGGAGAGGACTCTTCTAAAAGTTCCTTCAGAATATTTTGCCAAATGACAAAAACATGGAAACTCTGTAACTGGACTTTTAAGGCAGGGTGAGAAGAGGGCTGCTGGGAGCCAAAGGCCAATGGGATCAAGACGGGAGCTTCGCTCAGCTTTCAAATAAGCGCCCTGTGGGGCTTAGCATTGGTTTCAGCCTGGCTCGTGTACACTGTATGCTCAACTATCCCAGAACATTCAAACCCTTTGGAAGGCAGAACCTTTTCTTAGACCTCCACTCTGCCCCTCGCAGGGAGCTGATGCCAACCCAGAGATCACCCCTAACCTTTGGACCCATCCATTTGCCTCTTGTGCCTGAAAGCAACTTCTCCCCATAACTTAGGCAGGCTTCCAGGCGCACACAGTGCGGCAGGCTAGAAATGCCAGGGAATTGGCACTCCTTGTCCAGGACCAGCCCTCAGCCAGTGCCTTCAGGGAGAATAATACCCGAGCTCCCACGCTCAAATGCGATACTTCTGAGATCTGGGTTTTGAATGGTTTCCCAGTGCCTCCCCATGGGACTAAGCTCCAGGTGCTGAGGGTGAAAGGTAGCTTAATGCTGATCCCTGGACTGGCTGCCTCCCTTCCCCACCATTCTTCTCTTCCACACACCAATTATTTGGGAAGTCTCCCAAATAATCTCCTTGCATTTGAATTAGGGCCTGCTTCTGGAAGGATGCACATAGCCCTCACTCAATAAATATTTGTGAAAGGGAGGAATATAAATTTAGGA